GGATGTGGCCAGTTGCCTTCTGCAGGTTGTCCTCTGACATAGTCTCTGAGTAGCTGTGGCACTCCACACCCACACAAGCACGAACACACAGACACAGAGAGAGAAAAGGGGGGAGAGGGTGAAAAGGCAAGTCTTTTAAATATTAGTAATAACAGATTACTTTAAAACTGTCAACAAATTTAGCAGTATTACTGCCTATAAACTACAGTGTTTAGGCACAAGCCTAAAATATCTGAACTTAGGGCCAGAAGTAAGGATTGCTTTTTATTTTTCTACCTTTTATTCAGAGATGGTTATAGTCACGTGTGGTTGTCAGAAACAACACAGAGACTCCATTCACCCTTTGCCCAGCTTCCAGGGACATAGCTGGCTCAACTCCATTGAACTATCACAAGAAACCCACAGAACTTACCTAGGTCTCACTCCTTTGTTCAGCATTCATGTGTGAATTTAGTTCTATGAGATTTTATTCCTTTTATAGACCTGCAGAACTTCCTTGGCTGTTAAGAGTCAGGACAGCTCCATAACTGTGGGATCTTTTTATGGCCATCTTTCCTGTCCTTCAGTCTGACTACTGGTGTTCATGTCAAAAGATGACTGCTCCATCTTTTGATCTGAGGAACAGTTATTATTCTACCATATGCAAATCAGCCTACCAAGCACAGTGACAGGTAGTCTGGTAAACAGTACGACCTGCCACTAACGAGTTCAGGAGGAAACTTGACGGACTGCGTTCCGATCTTTATTGGCCACTGTGGCTTTGGGAAAGTATTTGAGCTCATCACAACACGGGTTGTTCTTCAGTGACGTGGTTCTAATAATAGAACTGTAAAAATAAAATAAAATAAAAAATGAGAGTGAGTTGATTTGTTTTTTAAGCAAGTGGAAATATCTGACATATAACAAATAGATGGATGCTACCATCTAAGAGCTCAATCCTTCCTTCGGAGGATGGGCAAAATCCTAATTAGGTCAGCCTGTATTAAATAATGTTATGTAAATATAAACACAGAATAAATCGAGGACAGTACAAAGGGAGGAGCAATAAACTCAAGCTGAGTCAGCCTTGTGGAAAACAGAACATTTGTGCTGGGCTTTGAAGTCTAAGGGAAGGGAAGATATTCCAGGCTGATAACCGCCAGCTTTTCTGTGGCCCAAGGCATGAGAGGGCATAGGCCAGTCTGAAGACTGAAAGGCAACAGCAAAGGCTCCTGGGAAACTGGAGGAACTGAGGGATCCAAGCCCGAGAGAAGGTTGGAATTAGGCTTTGGAGATGACGAGCACACAGCACTGTGGTTGGCACCCCGGCTTTGCAATTCTGGAGAGGCCTAGAGGGGAAGAGAAAGGGCAGAGTGTAAAAGGATTTCCTAAATTAAAAATCCCAGACAGTGGAGGTCAGTTGCAAACAAGAGCAGCTGCATGCCGCACACAGCCCTCACTCTTATCACAAGCATCCATTCTGGAGCTTTCTAAGCAAAGGAATGAAGATTTACTGTGTGGATTCGCACACCCCGATCTGATCCTTCACCCAGGTGTTCTCAATCCCGTTCACCAGCGGCTCGAACCATCCTGTGCTGGCTCTCCAAAGGAAGCCTCTGCCTGGAGACTGGGTGCTTTCCCATTTCTGGGAGCGTCTGCTTTGGGTCACCTAGATGTTTGCCTTCTCCTGGCTCTGAAATGGTGGTCTCTAACTCTGGGCCTGCCTCAATCTTTCTCAGATTTCCTGCTTCACTGCAAAGAGCCTTTTTTCCGTCTGGGGCTCTGGCCTCCCATGTTCCTGAAATTCCAGCCTGTGGAGCTCTCCAGCTGTCTTTCATATCTTCCTCCTGCTTCTCTGGTCCCGGGTCTCCTGGTGACCTTGGGTGTGGCACAAAGAAACAGCTGCTTTGAAAAATATGTTCTGCCATTAATCATTTGTGGTTCTCATTAGATGAGAAGAAAGGGGAAGGTCAAAGAGAGCTTATTTTACTTGCCCACCCCAGAATGGGTGGGCTCTACACAGAATGGGGGAAGAGGGGGGAGAGAATTTTCTAGTAAGAGCTGACACATTTCATTTGCTCTTTCACGGTTGTATCCATGAGAGAAAAAAAAAAAAAAAAAAAAGACATTGTAACAAATGGCCCTTGCTTGGTGGACCTTAGTGATGGTTTCTGGTTTGGCTTTGAAAACTAAGAAACCGAATAATAAAAGCACGCCTTCCCTCCAAACACAGTTGAGTCTTGATATCAAATAGTCAGAAATTATGAAGAGGACATGTAGCCAAGCGAGGCTTGAAAATAAACATCCTCAAGAACCCCTAAAACAACCCCCCTGCCATCTCCCATGCAATGGAGTCTGGGAAGGCTGTTAACTGCCATGACATATCCCTTCACTACATTATTCCAGCAGAGGTTCAGGTACATACTGTCAATGCCATACCTCCCTGACAGGCAGGTCATGCTGTGCTTGCTACAGGGAACCCACTTGTAGCCATCAAGGACAAGCCATCCTTCACGTAAATACAGAAAACATTGAACTGTGCCATTTACAGGGAGAGAAGGCAGAATGTGCCCAGATGATTAAGAGCAAGAGAAGAGAAAAGAAAGACGAAGTTTTTCTAGTCTTCTATCCCAACCCCAACTAATCCAATTGTGCGTTTGGAAGAAGTAACAAACCTTGTTTAATCCCCCAAGTCCCTCCCTACCCAAAACCTTGTACACAATTAGACTTTGTATCACTCACAGCCAGGCATACAGGGCAGTGGTTTCCTTAGCCTCACCTTGGTGGAGCAGCCTCTGAGAAAGAGATGAAACCAGGAGCAAGGGCTCAGAAGAGTGGCTTTAATGTTTTAATGTGATGGGTTAAAGCTATTTAAGAAATCGAACCCTGCCTGTCACTGCAAGGACATGCCCTAGGGTAGGGAGAAGGGGCCATGTCCTTTCCCCTCCTGGGCCACCATCTCCTGCATTCTCCACACCCATTCTCCAGAAGTGTTTTTGGTTTGCTCTGCAGTGCTGAGAAACAACCCCAGGGCCTCCAACATGCTAAACACCTCACCACCGAGCTCTACCCAAAGCCCTTTCCAGGGAAGATTTTAATGGCCTTTACTTTTCAAAAGTCGAAGAGGCTCTCAAGTTATGAAGCAGAGTAAATCCCCCAACAGTCTTGTTAAAGTATGTGTTTGGGGTCCCTCCTTGGACCTAGTAGTAATTAAGATTTCAGGGATTGGACCCGAAGCACATTTTTTAAAAAAATCCTTAAGTGATCTTGGGTTATGGCTGGGTTTCAGCAGAATTTTAAAAGCATCAGATTTAAGTGGTCTGGCCCCCAGTATGTGGGGCACAGAGGGCCCTCATCTCAAGGTAGAGGGCTTTCTTTGCTGGATTTTTAGGCAGGCCCTAGCATGGTAAGTCACAGAGCTCACAGTTCCTGATCCAAGAGAGACTCTGCTGCTCTGAGTTCCTGGTCTGCCCCATCCTCAGTGGATAGTGGCCATGTAGTATCAGCATGACCCATTCCACTGGCCTAATGTTTCAATCTGTGTCTTCCAATAAGCTTCCGTGGGCAAAGCAGTATCCCCCTTCCCCCAGCCCCTGGCACAGTCTCAATACCCTTTAAATGTATACTCAAGCAAACCATAGTGTTCCGGCCACAACCAGGCCATTACCAAATGATTTCCATCTTTCCTGTAGAGAGCCCCTTCAAGGCGTCTGTTCCCTTGCTTGCCTGCCTGACCTGCATGCTGCCAATTTTCTAGCTCAGAAACTGGGTGTTGTGTCTAAAATTCTCCTGGAACAGGGTGTCAGTCTTATGGGGGCATAGGAATGAATGGCAGAGGCTTAATTAAACTTGTGATTATACTGCTATGAAGTTATTTAGCTTGCACTTGGATTTTTAAATTTTATTTATCAGTGTGTGTGTGTGTGTGTGTGTGTGTGTGTGTGTGTGTGTGCGCACACCCAGGATGTATGGAGGTCAGAGGACATCTCTCACGGAGTTGCTTCTCCTGCCTTTCACTGGGACAGAACTCAGCTTATCAAGTTTGTGGAACAAGCGCTTTTACCCCCGAACCACCTTACTGGGCCTTAGTTAATTCACACTACTCTGTTTCAGAAGGAGCTAAGAGTCCCACCGCCTCTCGGAGTCCACGGGTGTGGAGAAGAAGCTTCTCAATGACCATTTTAAACCACAGGAAAATGTCCTGCCAGCTGATTGTTGAATATGGCAGGAAAAAAAAAAATTGCCTAGTGTCTAGAAGCTCTCTGAAATGCTAAAACTAAAGCACCTGAGCTCCTCCTCCCCCAGCGCCCAGCAGCTGGTTCAATCTGGCTAGCACTTACATTCCTCATCCCCTCCCACTCCTGTGGTAGAAGTAAGAATTTTATCATTTTCGTTTTTTTTCCCCTAAGAGAAATTAAAATAAACAAACCAACCAACAAACCATCCTTTCTCTCTTTCTTAGGTTAGAAAACTGGTATTAAGTGAGTAAGCCTAACAAGAAAACCTGAACTGACTTGAACCCTGTCTATACTAGCAAAGTCGTACTGGACTCCAAGAGGTGTAATCTCCTCCAGGCCTGGGGTGCGTGCGTTCAGCTCCCTTCCTGCCATTTGGCCCAGCATCTGTGTGTTACGGACAGTCGGGTGAGGTCTGTTCGAACTTGGGAACACAAAAGTCCTTGAAGCAGGCAGGAGATAGGGCAGCCTCATATTCGGGGACTCTTCTTCGTGAGTTGTTGCAGAAGTCTCCTTACACAAGGATCAGGAGGTAACCACAAGCATGTCCATTAAGTATTGCTGAGCTTGGGAACCTCACCTTCAAGGACACCCACCCCAACAGGTCTGCGGTTGGTCCTGCTGCTACTCTGTTCCTGCCCCAACTTTGGGGAGCTGACCCTCATCTGGTGCCTCAGGGGCTGCAATAGAGGCGCGATGGCTCGCCCAGCCCCGCACCCTCACCCAGGTGTGCTGTGCCTCGCCCTGGGGGTGGGGTGAGGGGGCACAGGCTCCTGCTGTGCGCGCCCTGGCCCGGGGAAGACTCCACACACCTGGCCACTCCACGGACTTCATTAAGGTGCGCCTGCGGGTAAAGGGCGGGCCGAGGAGTGGGAGTCTGGGCCATGGAACCAACGGAGAAGCTCTGCAGGAAACCGCGGGGTGAGCACGCAGCGGGGGTCCAGCTTGGCGAGGGCTTGCTGAGCCCACGAGGTGTGCTGGCCACTCTGCCAGCCTTAGGAGGCTGCTTAGGCCTGTCTGTGGGTGGCAGCGAGGAAGGGAGGTGACCTCACCACATCCTTCTGTTTAGGGATCGTCCCCTGAGGACTTGCTAGGGATAAGGCTGGTTTTAAGTCTCCAGCGCTGTTCCAAACTAGGTCCTGAGAGCCTTCACCTTTCCTTAGCCCTAGCCTTAGGATCTAAGTTGGTTGGGCGTCCACTCTGTACCACGTTTAATTACTGCGCTACAAGCTCCCCTAAACGGTTGTAAGGCTTATTTGCCCCAGCGTTCCTTAGTCCACCCTTCTCCCCTCACCCCCTGACCCACCCCACCCCACGCCACCTCTCTCCGAAGTGGTCCCGTGATGTGATGTACCAGAGCGCTCGGAAGGACGGAGGATGATGAGCAGTGAGGAAGGGGGTAGGGAAGGAAAATGCATCTTTTCTGTGATACCTCTGAAGGCTTTGTGTGCCTGCGATTCTCCTGAGACCCAGGGAGCCTGAGTTGTCTTCCCTGCCCCCCCCACCCCGTCCCTCCCCGAAGAGGGGGCTAGCCCGAGAAAGGCTAGGATGCTCTCCCCTCCACCAACAGTGGTTTATTAGAAACATCAACCCCGGTGCCTGTTCTGTGAACTTGCACCCTCATGTCTGGGGAAAAAAAAAATGAAGAAAATGTGTACCCAGCTTCCACCCCGTCAGGGTTGTAATAGGCGTTTACATTTTCCAAAGCAGTTGGAGGGAGTAATCCAGTGGGTCTCAGCCTGTGTGTGTGTGTGTGTGTGTGTGTGTGTGTGTGTGTGTGTGTGTAGGGAGGGGGTGGGGGCTTTGAACAACCCTTCACAGGGGTCCCAGTCTCCTGAGACCAATTGGAAAACACAGGCATTTATATATTATGATCCATACCAGTAGCAAAATTACAATTATGAAGTAGCAATGAAAATGACTTTACAGCTGGGCATTGCAGCACACACCTTTAATCCCAGCACTGGGGAGGAAGAGGCAGGCAGATCTCTGTGAGTCCGAGGCCAGCCTGGTCTACAAAACTACAGAGAAACTCTGACTCATAAAAATCCAAAAGAAAAAAAAAAAGAATTTTATGGTTGTGTGGGTCACAACTGTATTAAAGGGTTGCAGTGTTAGGAAGGTTGAGAGCCTATCTACCCCATCCTCCTGAGTGTCCAGTTGAGAAGGTATGCCGGGCATTTGGGCCTCATTTGGAAGACAGGCGAGGAAAGCTTAGATTCTAACAGCAGATCAGCTGCAGGGAGGAAGGGGTTCTACCACCAGTGGCTGGTGCTCTCCACAGGTCAGGAAGCTGGACGCAAGCCCGGGACTGCTGGGTTGGAGTCAGAGGGAGCACTGAAGGATTCTGCCCCGCCTACTGAAGATGACCAAGGCAAGCAGTCCTCATTCCCCAGGGCTGGCTCAGGAAAGAGACCACTGTCAAAGACCTCTGGAGAGTTAACGGGTGCTAACACCTGCAGAGGGTACCAGGACAAAGACCCAGCACCGGCTGCATGTAGTCCCCAGCCCAAGGAAGAAGTTTCTTCTCTCCCAGAGAGAAAGGTAAAGACAGCAAAGCCATCCATTTCTGCAGTCCTTGGTAAGTAAGCACAGGAAGTCTAACACCATGGGCTTGGAGTTAACGTCACCTTCCAAGATATCTCTCAACACACAAACCAATGCTTTCTGAACCAGGCTTAGCCCCCGGTCTCCTCAATACATTGGCCAAGAGCAGCCAAGCGGGGGACCCAAAGAAGGAATCCGTAGAAATCACCTGTCCGTTTCGGAAAAAGACTCGAACCCTGTACCGCTCAGGTTAGTCCCAAAAGGTTGGGGGGGGGGGTGGAAATCTGTGCGAAGGGCGTGACCCCAGGAGATGTTGGGGCACGATTAGTCACTCTACCTGCATGTTTCCCTTTGTCCAAGGCAGTTCCAACACGTCTGACGCCTGTTGTTAGATCTGAAGGAAAGAGTCAGAAATGCACATATAACACTATGCACGAGAGGAGGTGTGGCTCTTGCTTTGGCACAAATGGCCGTTAGCTATCTGCTATGGGTGCCCTATGGGTGGGTGTCTCCTTTTCTCCTGCCCTGCTGTGGTGTCTGACCTCGCCATAAGCGTCTTCTTTCTTTCTGCAGACCAGCTAGAGGAGCTGGAACGCATATTCCAGGAAGACCACTATCCCGACAGTGACAAGCGTCACGAGATTGCCCAGATGGTGGGGGTCACCTCCCAACGCATCATGGTAAAGGGGGCTGTCGGATTGGTCGGTGGGGTGCTTTGGAAGCTGCCGGTCAGAGCTACCTGCTCAGTCTCTGATGCAGGGGTGTCCCAACTGTCCCGTGAGCCACAGCTTTAACCAATTAAAAGAGGAAGGAAGAAGCCACAGAGATCCTTTTTATATATATATATTTCCAAGTAAAGCCGGGAAAGTGTCCTCCACAGTGACACCAAAAACTTTTGACTGTGTCTGCACCCTCAAATTCGGGTGCCTTTCCTCTGTGCACAGGTGTGGTTTCAGAACCGTAGGGCAAAGTGGCGAAAAGTGGAAAAACTGAGTGAGAAGGGGAACAGGGACGGCCCTGCAGCCCCCAGCACTGAGAGCAGCCAACCCAGGTGAGAATGGCCGGCACCTGGCCTTGGGTTGTCCACACCAAGCAGGAGTGGAGTCCGCGCAGGAGTGCTGGGGGTCTTGGAGGAGGATGTTGGAAGCTGGGTGTGAGTGCCTGGGGGTATTGACTAACCGGTCAGTCCTTCGAGCGAATTGGGCTTTGCTTGCCCGGAATCCTTAGATGCAACACTCTTCCTCCTCCTCTCTGCCTCCAGGCCCGCACCTGAGCTACTAGCGCCTACGCCTGCAGACCTAGTCCCTGGCCCTGTCCCCCCAGAGCACATTTTGGATGGCTTTCCAGGTGCGCTACCGCTAGGGGTGGAAATGAGAGCTAAGGAAAACAAGTTGGAACAGAATGTCGTCCTTGCGCTATAGAAGTAGTCGGGGGGGCAACCCTCGGGGTTCTGTGCCAGGGACCCCTGGGTATCGCACCCCCCCACGTCTCCCGTTCAGCAGCGCCGTCGTTGCCTTCCTACTCCTACCTCTATGCTGAGAGCCCGTTTGCCATTTTTCCCTAGAGCACCCAATGCTGCTGGCTTCTGACCAGACTCTGACCCCCTCTCAGCACAGTGAGGGTACTCAGAGGGTAGCGGTGACCCCACCACTCTTCAGCCCCCCACCGCTTCGAAGGAGCAGCCTTCCTCTTCACCCTATCCAAGCCCCTCAAGTGATGCCTCCACTGAGGGATGTTTCTGGACGTGACAGCATACATCAGGACAGCCCCTGTGGGTCCTGGGGCACCAGGTATGGGACCTAAGTTCAGATGTAACCTTAGAGAGAGGGAAAGGGCTGAGTGGGTTAAGAGAGTGGCTTATGTGATAGCAAGTAAGAAAAGATGTGTGAACTTTGCGTAGGCGTGACAGGAGAAGAGAAACTGGGGGAAGCATTGAGCGGGCGGGGGGGGGGGAAGGAGGAGGGTGCGGGGGAGGGCGGGCAGAAGTGATGTCTAAGGATCGATGTTGTAGAGGGAACGGGGTCCCTGTTGCACCTCACTAAATGCTCCTCTGTCCTCCACAGCGCCACCTCACCACCCACCCGCTCAAATCTGGGAGACCTGGGGCCCCAGGATTACCAAGCGAGCAGCCAGTTGGGTTCATTCCAGTTCTGCCAGGGTCCACAGACCCCTCTCTTCCCACCCTTCCAGCCCCAGTTTCCTTACCTGCCTCCCTTCCCTTTCCCCGTCCCAAGCTTTCTACCACCGGAAGACTCGCTCCTCCCCTTCCCTTTTGGCCTCAGTGGGGACATGCCACAGGATTATTGCCCAGGACCCCCTCCAAGTCAGATCTTGCTGCAGCCACACGTTGGAAATATGGGTGAGTTGGGGCTGGAAAAGATTTCCCCACTGTTAATTGAAGTTGAGAAAGACACATTGTCTGGAAGGGAGAATGAGGCAGGTCATGGGTGGTGGTGAGCAGACCTCCGGCTAGACCCTGCTTGTAGCTATTCTGGAACTTCTGTTGAGCTGGCATTGGAGCACTAGTTCCATGTTGCTGAAGGATTTGGTGACCATTACAAATACTGAATAAAAAGTCTTGGGACAGGATTGGTAGCAGTCATTATGCCGGATTATCTAGACTCCTGAAAGCCCAAAGCTCTCCATCTCACGAATGAAAGAATTCTGTAGGGGGCTTGGAAGAGATGTCCAGGTGGTTCTGTGCCTCCTTGGTGTCTGTATCAGCCAGCACTTGGCCTTGACCCATGGTCTATTAAATCACAGCACCTGAAGTCCAGGAGTCTATCTGATCCTGGGGGAGATTAATGTTTCACTCAGGCTGCATTAGGGACCTAAGCCGTGGTCCTGAGGGAGGAGAAAGACACTTCAGTGGTGCCTTAGTCCTTTTCAATAGTTCCCATGTTCTTTGACTCCACAGGCCCAGGACCCTGGAGCGGCCATTGTTTGCCAGAGCCTCCTTTCTCAGGTCCACTCTGTTCACAGACTCTGGGGCAACCCCTGGGGACAGAGGGCTACTTTCCAGACCTGCTTCCAGCTCCATGTGCTCAGACTATGAACAAGCAGCCTTCACTGGGACTCAATGGGCTTCCTAAAGGCACTAGGTCAGAGACAGTGTCCTCTCTAAGCAAAATGCCAGAGGAGCAAGTTTCCTCTTCCCTTGGGCAGCCCACACCAGAGGAGGCAAAAGACAAAACTAAGAATAGCCACTAAGAGTGAAGAGAAGGTCTTGTAGGGGATCTGTGGGGAAGTACGGCATTGAGTTCCTCAATGCCAAGAACACACAGAATTGAAAGATTTGAAAGGCTATGGATTGGCCTGGTATGGAAGTCCAAGGTCTTCCCAACCCGGGCTTGAAAAGAGCTGGCATCATTTGCCCCCTTTGCCTCTTGGGAGAATCGGGGCCCTGCTGCTTGTAAATGTTCTACCAGTTTCTGTGGTTTCAGTTCCTCCCTAGACATTTGAGTTGGTGTCCGTTGTATGCAATAAAACAGTAACTATTGAGTGTTTTTCTCCGAATAAAGAGTTGTGTTTCTGACTACTTCTCTGGGTGTTTGTTAGCTGTGACCCTCGAGAGAGGTCCCCAATGCCTATCACCATATGGAGCCTGGCGTTTCCATGGGCCCATTTCTTCACTAAAGGAGGATTTTGGGCACTGTATGTATCTCCTTTAGTTTTTGCCACTAAAATAGTTCTATTTCCAAACCCAGAACTGAAAATGATTCTGGACCTGTGTCTCAATTTGGGGCCTTGTAAGGATAGTATCTCAGGAGAAATGTGAGTGACATGGAAGCTATTAGATGTGGTATGAAGATATATGAATCTGTTACTGTGAATCCCAACTTATTTTCCCAGTATTTTTTTGTGGATGGTGGGAATAATAATATTATTATAGGTTGATACCTAAAATAGTGTAGCAAGTAGGCAGTTCTTCCATGGTTAGGATGATGACCTAGTACTTCTAATTTCTGACTGCATAGATTTTACTGAATGGGGATGAAGGTTCCAAGGGTCTTTCTGTCTCCTAGGCCATAGCTGGGAAAGGAACTGAAATAATGTGACTTTAGGTACCTGTGAGAATACCTATGCTAAAATAACTGCCATTTCTTACATAGACACAGACTCACGTTTTGCAGGTTTGTCTACTCACAGCTAGTATTTGGGGTTGCAAGCTAATCTAGGTAGCTATGGTGATGGTTTGGGGTATGGATGATGGGAGGTGGAAACAGCAGGTGGACAAATGGAAAACCTCAATGACTAGACAACGGGTCAGGAGCTCAGGAGGGAAAGGACAAAGCAGCACCATGAGATCTGTGGCCAGATGGAGACAGATGGTCACGGTCAAGTCTACAGTGTGGGAGGCGGCACCCGAGGAAGAAGCAGGTGGAAAGGATAACTGGAGGAAAGGCTTGCTAAGGCTGTAGCAGATGGGAGAGTGTGTCCCTCAAATAGGAAGGGCATTTCTAAGGGCATCCAAGGTGCAGATGATTTGAATGATCTTCAGAGAAGGCAGAGATGGTTAAAGAGAGCCAAAATGATTGTAGTAGGAGTTAAGTTGATGGGAAGGGGAGATGTGGAAAGGAGCATCTGTCTACATCACTGACGTATCTATAATAGTCTAGGAGTAGCGAAACTCCAGTGATCATGTTGTGTGTATTTACTGTTCTTCAGGACTGAGTGGCTATTGGGTTAAGACAGCTGACACTCCAAAAGCTTTTAGGGAGGGTATCTGACACCCAGGAAACACATGACAGATTTTAGTCTTGCATCCCTTTTGCAAGTCTTTTCAGCTATGACTCAACCTCCCTGTAAGTTGGAGCTATATTTAGCATCCAGCTCTGGTAGCCTACAATACTTCCAAATTAGGATTTGCTATGATTATTAGATAATTTTTTTTCAAAGGAAAAAAATACACTGTCACAATGGATTGTTTACATATCTACCAAAATAGTTCTTGGTTCAGCGGCTATAAGAACCACCACGCAGCACCACTTGGAAGTGGAAAAGAAATAACTTGGTTACCCAGTCACGGTCTCCATTGATCTTTGAGGTAGCCCTTCAAATCCACAGCTGTAGATTCAATCGTCTGCAATCCAGAAATGTTTAGAAGAAACTTGTGTCTGTACTAAGCATGCATAGATTATGTTCTTGTCATTTATGAATAACCTAGAGATGAGTCCAAGTTTATGAGAGAATATGTATGGGTACATTGCAGCTGAGGGACTTGAACATCTACAGATTTTTTGCATCCAGGGGAATCCTAGAATTACTCCTACGTGAACACTGAAAGGAGTTTGTACAAGGGTTTGCAAGTCAAGTTTAACACTCAAACCCAGTGGTGTAATTATCATCTCTTTGCCATTCAAGGGTGCCAGGACCAGGATCAGTGCCCTTAAATTAGGGATTCAAATGTATTGCCTGTAATATGGGTGTCTTTTATTATGTGTACAAGGGAGTCTTGTCTTTTTCGGTTTTTCGAGACAGGGTTTCTCTGCGGTTTTGGGAGGCTGTCCTGGAACTAGCTCTTGTAGACCAGTCTCAAACAAAACAAAACAAACTTAAAAACTGAAATGTGGTGAACTTCAAGATGTAGCCTAACGTGCAACTCTTAGACCAAATGTCAGACTATCTAAACATAGATAGCTTTACTAAAAGTAAAACTTAAGTGCTGAAAAACAAAAGATGGTCTGAAGAAAGGAAATGATAAGCATGCTCCAGAAGCCTAGAAACTAGGAATTGAAGAAACTTCATATGCAGTTTCTGCTACCGTGAGCTACTGACACACTAGGAGTTAGACAGCTCTTATGATCTTAAGATGTTTTGAAATCCTTACAGGATATCACCTACTTTGGAATTTTTGTTCTATTTGAAAATTGGATGTGTCAGATGTTTTATATTGCAACCATTGCTAAATTAATAAGCAGAACAAAAAGGGTGTGTAATACATTTCATCATTCACCTGGAAAATGGTTTATTACTGGCACTTAAGTGTTTAGCTAGCCATGAATCCTCAACTGTACAATCATCCAAAGTCATCTTTGGCTCGTGCCTGCAAAAGATTTGGGGGGGGAGAACCTGCTTTTAAGACCCAATAAAATCATATTTTCCATAGTCTAACCAGGTAAGTTATCGTTCCTGTCAACCTAACTGTATACCAAATACTCTACACTTCAGGGAAACCTACTGTTTTTTACGCGTTGTGGTGTTTTTGAATGACTAATACATTTGAATGTTTAGTCTGCAGATGGTGGAACTGTTTGGGAAGAGTTAGGAGGTGTGGCCTTGTTGAAGGAGGCGTCACCAAGGTTTGAAAAGCACCTGTCATTCCCAGTTAGCTCTCTCTGACATGTGCTTGTGGTTCAAGATGTAAGCTCTTAGCTGCTACTCTGGGAGCCTGCCTGCCTCCCTGCTGCCCTGTTCCCCTCCATGGTGGTCACGGCTCGCCTTCTGAGACTAGAAGCTCCAAATAAATGCTTTCTTTTACAGATTTCCTCGGCCACGAGGTCTTGCCGTGGCAATAAAGAAGTAAAGAAGACAGATATTTTAATCATAGTATTAGGTGTCATTATGGCATTTTGAAACATAATGTCACTTATTTCTATCCTCCCTTCTCTTCCATTCCCTTGAGCCCACGTGTATTCCCACAATCCCCTTTCTCTTTTTCTTGGATCATGTATCCTATTGCCCTCCCTGCTGCCTCAACTTCCCGTTCTCTATGCTCGCGTCTGTACTCAGGTGCACGCGCACACACACAAGTTTATATGTGCATAAACATTGTAAGCTAAGAATTGTATATGAGAGAGAAGTAATTTTTGTCGTTTAGAGATCGTATTCGCTTGATATATTTTCTAGCTCTATCCATTTTTCTGTAAGTTCCATATATTTTGTTTGTTTGTTTGTTTGTTTGTTTCATAGCCGAATAAAATTCCATTATGTGTACCTACTGCATTGTCATTCTCCGGTCCTCTGTGGGCAGACAGCCATTTCCTTGTTGCTGGGAACGACGCAGGAGTAAGTATGAGTGTGCGTGTACCTCTGTGGTAGGATAGTCTTTGGGGTAGTGTTGAGAGTGGTCCAGTTTTGGTAGCCGTATTTATTTTATGCTCTTTGGAAGCCTCCACACGGACTTGCATGATGGCTGCACTAGTTTACACACCCACCAGCTGTGGATGGCAATCTGCTTTCCTCACCATCATTCGCTATTATTGATTGCTTGGTTTTATATGCTTTTTTTTTTCTTTATATAAACATTTTGAAAATCTCTTGTAGACGTATTTAAGAATTTCACATTAAATTTATTTTTATGAGGCTCCCCAAAAACAGCTGGATAGAAATTAGTATCTCCGCCTCTGTCAAGACTTAGAGACCCTCTCCTGTTAACGTACCAGGGAAATGATGAAATTATTGAAACCAGCTAGGATGCCCTGGTTCAGGTTCCAAGACCACCTTTTATTCGTTTTACTTAAGCCTTCTAATTCCTAGATTGCTTTCCTTTCCTTGAGCAAACAGGCTGAAATGCTGCTAATCAAGGCTTTTGTCTATCATTGGTTGTCATGGCAACTACCTCGACCCCGTTCTCTGCCATCTCCTGTGATTAGACCCCCATGTATCCTGCTTTGGAAATTTCTTGCATCTCCTGTAGTTCTTACCTTTGCTTTGCTGTGTTTTTATTGTTGTTGTTGTTGGTGGTGGTGGTGGTGATCTGTTTTTCCTGAATGTTTTTCTGCACACCGGAGTTCGCTTGTCCCTCACCTAGACTTCTAGGCAAACACATTCCAGCCTCACTCCCCTGTCACCCGCCCAGTCACCCCTGATTGACAGCATCTTCTACCAATGCGGTTTGAGCCCCTCAGTATTTTGCTGTTACCCAGGGCAGCGCCCTTCTTTGCAAATGCTAGAGAGATTTAAATAAAATAGAATAAATGTCAGCATTTCTGTTTAATTTTTTTTCTGTTTTGTTTTTTTTCCCCCCACTAGATGGCAATGCACCACCAGTTTCTTCGTGATCCTAAAAATTCTGGTGGTTCAGTCAGAAGGGCCTGGTAGGGGATCTTTGCTCAGCCCTTTCTACTAAGATCCCTAGAGCCCCAACCTATCAAAGATGTAGTTCTCAAAATTAGTTGGGCTTCAGTTTGGCTTTTGGAGTAAATAGCAAATTCAGATAATCGAGAAATGATTAAAAAAAAAAAAAGCATAGACAAGCTGAACTTGGG